TTCTATGCAAAATTTGAACGATTTCTTCATTATAAATACATTATATGTTCTCTAGTTCTTCCATTGCCATGATTTTTTGTATTGAAATTGTGTATCATATGTGTTAGCATACTTTAGAATCTTTGAAGCCACTTTTCAGTTCTATTAATATTTATACTTTTTTTATTTAACATATTGTACCATTTAAATTGTTACGTGAAATACTAATTTTTATTCAATTTACCAGTGCAGTTGTTATCATGTGCTTCACTCTTCAATGGATACTTCCCCCTTTATTTTCACTTCCAGTTATTTAAAATAGACATTGATAGGAGTGATTTTTTAATAATATTTTGTTTAGAGTGTTTAAATACCTGTGCACATTCATGATGACTGCATAGTCTTAGTGTCCATACCCATAACACTAGTAGCCCAGTATTGTATAAAAAAATGTGAAGAACATCTTCAGTCAACAGTGAGTTTGATATCAGCCTGACTCATACTGTATCAATAAGTAAAGATAATGAGAACAGCATAGAAGATTTCTCCTGCCACCCAACCCTTGTATATTTCAGAGTGCATCTCTTCACCACAGATCTACGTGCTTCAAAGTCTATTGTTTTTCTTCCTTTCATATCTCTACTTTGTAAGAATGATAGTAGTTCTCAGATCTTCTAAACATTCTGGTGTTTCATAAAAAAATTTATAATTATGCTCATTTAATCCAAGTTGCTCCAACTTTATACATTATGTTTGGATATTCAAATTACACAAAAAGAGAGAAAACTTTTGGAAATCATGGCTTGTAGCATATCTCATGTCAGTTTAAGTGTAAAGTGTGTGAGCACCTGACTTTGTATAGAAGTTCCTGATGGAACAGAAACCTTTATGTGTGTATTTGTGTGTGCATGTGTTTTGAAGTTTTCATATACTCCTTCTTTTACATGATATGTAGCCATGGGTGAATCCCAGGGATATGTACATCAAAGCCACAGATAATGATGTGGAGAGAGAGAGAGAGAGAGAGAGAGAGAGAGAGAGAGAGAGAGAAAGAGAGAGAGAGAGACAGATTGGCAAATATGCTCTGTGGATCTTCATAGAAACACATACCTCCCAGAAAGTATCAGTTTCTATCATCAAACCTGGATTTTTCCCAGGGTCTTTATATGAAATTCATGTCTTCTCTTTTGCATGGCCATACAAGTACCTGAGCCACTTTCCTAACTCAATTTTAGATTTTGAGATACTCAATTTTACAATTTTTTCATGACTATGTGTCCTATATTACTGTTTTTAGCCTTTCCAGATTTTATATTTTCAAAAACCATTTTTTCCTTTCATGAATCCAGCATTAGGTATGCTATGGAAAGAAAAATGATGAGTGGTCTGATGCATTAGCTCCCCTTTGAGAAGTCACTTGAATACCCCTTAGGTGTTTATACAGATCTCTCGTGACTATTTGAGACATTGAAAGTGATGATGTAAAAAGGGCAGCAGTTAGGCTGCTTCAAAGTATCGTCCTTCTAAGGGGCCAAAATAAAACTAAACTGAGGGAAAGATTCTGAGCATAATACAGATATTTGGTCACAACATTCATGCTAGGGTGTGTTATGTGAGTGGGGTCGAGAGTATCAGGGCTAATATATTACCTATTGAAAGTGTAGTTAAGAATGTAATCGGAGCAGTTTCTACTTATTATAGGGAGAGAATAGGCAAGAAAATAGTCTAAAATCCACATGGCAGACTTTGTCATGGGTGCTAGAAAACTGAGGATTTGTATCACTGTTGGTAGTACAGTAGTTAGGTGGAAACACAGATATTTTGAGCTTATCAGTGTAAGTTTAGAATCAGCCCATCTTTCTATTATGAAGTTGTGGGAAACATTTTTGGTTAAAATTTGAGGAAAAATTTTATCAAATTAGTAACATAAGTTTGTTTATTAAGGGAAAGTATGTATTTATACCAATCTGGATCATATTCTAGAGACTTCAAAGAGAAGGAAAGTTGAATCAACTCCTTGTTAGACCAACTTTCTGCATAAAGAACAAATACCCAGTGCTTAGTAAGAGAAGACATTTAAAGTCCAGGGACCCTAGGTGGGATTCCTGACTAATTCCCCAAATAGCGAGTTTCATGACAGAATGCCCTGCAGCTCATTTAATCAGGAGCATGTGCAGTTAGTATACTGAATGACACATTCTGTCTGTGAGAAGTACTTTTTGAGAAAGAGGTGACTTTCCACAGTTGATAAAAAACAGCTTTTCAATTTAACCCACATATGTAAGATGACTGCCTGTTTTTCTCAGCTATTAATAGACACTATAGCATTGAAGTTAGCTAACACCTTATATTTTATGGGTATATTTAGTTCTCTCTATGTATCACAAAGAGAATTGGGAGTGAAAAACTGTTGTCTAAATAATATTCCATATGTTTAAGCATAATTTTTGAGGTCTTCCATGTGCTAAAGAGTCACATTGAACATTTTAAAGAATAACATACTTTACTGGCACATGTTTAAAACTGCATATTTAGTAAAAAGTAAGTTTGTTTTCTGATGAGGCCTATTGGAATTAAAGGCCCAAGTGTTCTCTAAAGTTCTCAAGAAGCAGGCATATCTCTGTGAGTTTGAAACCAGCCTGGTCTATAAAAGATAGTTCCAGGACAGTCTCCAAAGCCACAGAGAATGCTTGTCTTGAAAACATAAAACAAAACAAAATAACAAAAAAGAAACTGGAGATTGTCACAGCAGAGATTTAACAGCATAACTAAACTCTCTAGAACAAAAAGATGCAAACTAACCCTGGAGGAGTAGAGGCCAGGAAATAATCAAATTGAGGGCTAAAACAAGGGGGAGCTTGTGGACCCCAGAATGATAGCTGGGAAACCAGCATAGGACTGATCCAATCTCCCTGAATGAGGGTGTCAGTGAGGTGGCCTCAGAAATCTATGGGACCTCTGGATCAATATTTATTCCTAGCATATGTATACTAATGGACTTTAGGAGCCCATTCCACATAGAGGGATACTCTCTCAGCCTAGACACACAGGGTTCCTAAGCCCTGCTCCAAATGATATGACAGACTTTGTGAGATCCCCCATGGATGGCCTTGCCATTCCTGGGGAGAGGAAAGAAGATGGTATAGGGGCTTAGTGGGGGGCAGGGGATGAGTGGAGGAAGAGGGAACTGGGATTGACATGTAAAACGATCTTGTTTCTAATTTAACTAAAAAAAATCTTTAAAAAAGGAAAAAAATCTCTGATTCTTCAAGCCATTCATATGCTACTTTTCCTCTTAATGAACATAAGTCCGTAGTTATGCTTGTTCTGAATGTGACTTCCCTTGAAAACAGTGAGTGAATTATCTCAGTGTTTAGAGTCTCTTCATTGTAGACAGGACACAGGGTAGAATTTAGGTTAAATTACAACCAGTTTTTCATAATTGTTATTCTTATTCTACCGGCACTTTATTATTTCATTTAAATCTCAAAAATCTATGTAGCTTAACCCACTCATATATTCATAATTTCAGTAATCATTGAGCTATCCCATTTTAGAAACATCCATTAATCATAATCTTTATGTATAAACTCTTCATTTTAAAAACAATTTCAAGCTTTATATCTTTCTTACTTTTTTCCTTGTTAATATCATATGAAATAATGGGATTAACACATAAATGTACAATTCATACTAGGTAAATGTTAAAATGATTTGACTTACCTACAGAAATTGGGAAGGTGTCTCCAATGAGAGTGTTGGTGACACAGAATAAATCATATTGAAAATTCTTGATTCAGCATGTATAAAGACAATCCATTATCACAGAGATAAATAGTCTTTCCCACATTTTAAGAATACTGGCATGTCAGTTCCTCTGCTTTTTAAGATGTATGAACATTTCACTAGTTCTTTTGTAGTCACTTAATCTACCAGATTTGAAGACATGAAGATGGATGTTGTTTACCTTAAAAGATAGGTTGGAATGACTGTGTTGGATCTTCCAACATTCATTCTTTACTTACTTGATTTTAATGAGTCTTTACTGGTTAGATATATCCTTAAATTCATTAACATGATTTATGTATGTACATCAGATTTAAAAGCACAAAGACAAAATAATCTTTTTCTTAAAAAAAATTTTTTTCTTCGTCAGCCATACATTACATGGTAACTTCAGCTTCTCCTCCCTCCACTCCTGCCAGTCATCCCCTCTCTCCTATCTCCCAGATCCACTGCTCCTCTGTGGTTCACTCTTCCCAGTGGAAATCACAGCATGGCTAGATGCAATAAGTTTACTGTTAAACCCTCTTGATAAGGAACCAGTAGGAAGAAAATTATCGCAGAAAGTAGAAAAATAATCAGAAACACTACATTCAAACTGTTAGGATTCAACAAAAACCCCAAGATAATTACCATAACGTGAATGTGGATGGCCTATCACAAACCCATGTTGGCTACATAGTTAACCGCTCAATCTCTCAAAGTCCCTATTAACATTGCTTTTTTGATTATGTGGACCATGTCTGTTGGTGTCCTCAAACCCTCTGGCTCCTAATTCTTGCCTCATTCTCTTTTGCTTGGTTTGCCTAGATTAGCTTAATGTTTGGCTGTGGGTCTATTTGTTCCTATCAGCTGCTAGAGGAAAGACAGGGCAATGTACAGTATGATAAATACTCCTGATCTAGGAGTAATGATTTCTTATAGAATATTTCCAACCATAAGGGACTGGACCTGGTTGGAGAACCAGAATTGGTTCTACAAATGGAAGATTCCATTGGCTGATTGTTTCCCTAAAGTGTCAAAACATTAGTGGGTCAGCTATGTGGATATCCTTAGAAGGTATCACTAGTGCTATCAGTTCAACTCCCTCCCCTTTTCTCTCAAAATCTTGTAGATCCACCCAAAGCAGTTAGGTAATGAAACCATGGCTTAATATATGCTGGAAATTCAAATTACAATCATTCCTGGGATCACATAAAATTATTTGTTTGTAGAAATATGACATTGAAATGATAAAAATGATTGCATCAAACTGGTACTCAGTGTGGTATGGGTCCTTTCCATCAATATTGACAAAACATTTCTGCAGGTTCAAGTTCAAAAGCTACCAGTGTTCTTTGGCTTTCATATTTGCAATTGAGGAGATCAACAGGAACCCTCATCTCTTACCCAACACATCTCTAGGATTTGATTTCTACAATGTCCAAAGAAGTGAATGGGATTTTCTCAGGGAAGCTTTTCTTTGGCTCACAGGAATGGGAATCAACATTCCCAACTACACATGTAGAAGGGAAAACAAGGCTGTTGCTCTACTTACAGGAGTGTCATGGGCAACATCTGCACGTATTGGAAGACTGCTGAATCTCTACAAATATCCACAGGTGAGGGATGTGGCTGTGATAGAGCAACTCAACTTCATTAAAATGCTAACATGTCAAATGTTTTATCATGTAAAGGAGAGAGGTCCATTACTTGTCTGTTAAAGAGAAGTCAGGCATTTTTATGTAGCCTCATATACTTTGCTTGAGATAGAGAAGGGGAAGTGGTTGGGGCTCTCAAATCACTCTACGTCTTGTCATAAATTGTCAATAAAATTCTTCAGGAATGATACAGAATTTTAAAACACCATATTACCTTACAAAACCCAAGTGTCTCCTCTGGTATAAGATTGTATTCTATAACAATGTTTTCATTCTTTCTTCTGACTTGAAAATCCCTTCAGCTTAGTTTTGGACCATTTGACAGTTTCCTGAGTGACAGAAGCCAGTTTTCTTCTCTCTACCAGACTGCTCCGAGGGACACATCTCTTTTCTTTGGTATTGTCTCTTTGATGATTCATTTCAGCTGGTCCTGGGTGGGGTTGATCCTCATAGATAACCACAAAGGTATTCAGATCCTATCAGACTTTAGAGAAGAGTTTCAGAGGAATAAAATATGTGTAGCATTCATAAAAATGATGTCAGAAAATATGATTTACTCAGACTATGTAGATGAAGCCACTCTTCGGCTGATCCTGATGTCATCTGCAAATGTGGTTATCTTTTATGATGATACTGAAAGTGCTCATGGCATATTGCTACATCCAATGTATTTGTTAAAAACATGGAAAGTCTGGGTCATGAATTCACAAATGGATATTGGTAGCATTGTAGATCCTTTTGTGTTTGATTCATTTCATGGAACCATCTATTTTGTTCACCATCATGATGAGATCTCTGATTTTAGAAAGTTTATGCAGACATACACCCCTTCTAAATACCCAGAAGATCATTATCTTGCACGTTTCTGGAATTTATACTTCAACTGCTCTTTTTCTCTACCTGATTGTAAAATATCAGATAACTGCCTACCCAATGCTTCCTTGGAATTGTTACCTTCAAATATGTGGAACATGGACATGACTGAAGAGGCTTACAATATGTATAATTCTGTGTATGCTGTGGCTCACAGTCTCCATGAGATGACTCTCAAACAGATACAAATTAAAACTCATGGAAATGGGGTAGGGAATCCCAACCCTCTGGAGGTAATTTTTCTTCTTTTTCATTTTAACTATAGCACTGTAACATGCAGAGGCTTTATTAAAAAAATGCTCAATACACTATTGTACTTTGTGGAAATTTTTACCAAAAAATACATGAAAGACTGTGCAGAGTCTAGTATAAATATCATTGCAGAAATTGGGTCATTGTCCACGACAAATTGGTGGCAATACGAAATATATGTATTTCAATATTCACTTTGTGTTCCAAATAATCTAAAAGTCTTCTCTTGGAAATATGCTCAATTTGATACCCCAGTATCCCTAAGTCCATTTAAGGACAGAAATCAGCGAAGTGGATCCTAAATTGTGAAATGCTAGTAGGCCCTTAAAGGTTCACATGCTGAAGCGATTGCTACATTAACTTATTTACCATTTTATTAACTTTATTTCATCAACATAAAAGTGTATATACTAAAACCTGAAATAATTTTTTATATCTTGAAATGGTTAACATTTGTAATTTTTGCATATTTGCCTCAATCAGCATTCTGAGTTTCACTTTGTTTTGTGAGTGTATATGGGTGTGTGTATGTGTGTGTGTGTGTGTGTGTGTGTGTGTGTGTGTACCAGTGTATTCTTTTGACACTCATTTGACAGTCTAGAAACATTATGATTATGTTATTTTGGGAGCATTCATCATTAAAATCACTAGTAGGTTTTGTAAACTTGCATTTGTTGTCAGGGTTTAAAGTCAATTAGAGACTCTTTCATTTTTTCAGTTGAAGTGAATTCATCATAAGTTTCTACATCTATTTTAGCTTCACTCTTTTCTCAAGCAAATTCATTTCAAAAATGGTGCTGGACACCATGTGGTTTTGGATTCACAAATGAAATTAGATGAAGAATATGATATTTTCAATGTCTGGAATTTTCCACCTGGTTTCAGACAAAATATCAAAGTTGGAACATTTTCTCTAAAAGCTCCACAGGGTCAACAACTGTTTTTGTCTGATCATATGATACAGTGGGACACTGGATTTACAGAGGTGGGATGAATTTTGTATTATTTTATTAAGTTTCATCCCTGTGCTGAATATACACTGATTATTTTGACTCTCAGAATAGGAAATATCAGTCCATGGCCATTTGCGCTTTTGCTTTGCAGCCATAGAAAAAGCACTGTATTACGGAGGGCACATTTCTATGGATTAATTAAGTGTCTTCCTACTGAAAAATGTCAGTTTATCAAAAATATAAAAAAGAATACAAAAAAGGGAAGTAACCTAAGATCAAATACTTCATTTGGTCTTATGTAGCAGGTGCAGATAGATGCCTCAAGAGTCAGGCAGTCATGGCTAGAAGAGCTAGCGAATTCAATTCACATTGTTCTTCAGTAAAGAAGTCAATAGATATTAACACTTCCCTTCATATCAGTTTTGATTTTTCATCTATCCAGGAAATAGTCAATGAAATGACACTATGAACTTTTAGACTGTATTTCGCTTGAAGTACCCTAATATGGATCATCTCTCACAGAAATTTCCAAACACTTGTTTGCATTGTAATTCTGAATCCTTTCAAGTTTATATCTGAACAGATACTAAATATCACAAGTATCAAATAATTGCTCCTTCCAGGCATTGTAAAACCCATAGTAGGGACACTATGGCATTCTGGTTGCCCATCCAGACTTGTGTTCAAGATGCAACTTCCTATTATTTTGCCCTACCAATTAACACTCCCAGAACTCTTCAGAGATTTATTGTGACTGGATCATTGTTTTAAACCTTGAACTTCATTGGGCATATCATTTCATAATTGAAGTATCAAAACCATGGACTGTAGTTAAAATATGTATCTTGCTGTTTCACTGTTCAATATTGAAAACAATTTCTATTTTCTAAACACTGCCCTTGTGAGTATTTTATCTCATGTATTTAATTCTCAGCTTCCCAGCTCTGTGTGTAGTGAGAGCTGTGTTCCTGGATTCAGAAAATCAACCCAGGAGGGGCAGGCCATGTGTTGCTATGATTGTATTCCTTGTCCATTAAATGAGATTTCCAACAAGACAGGTAAGTGTCAGTCTTTCTGGGTTGTTTCACACCTCTCCATGGTTTCCATCAATGTAGATGGAAACCATTTGTGAAGGAACATCAGAGATAAGCATTATTCTTTCATTGACATTTAAAAATGTTTAGGTTCATTGTATTATCATTTTAAATTGCAGCATGTCTATTAAAATTCATAGGTGAATTGTTTATTCTCTCTCAGCTTTGAAGCTTATCCTGGCACTCCCTCTGCCTCCCGAGTGATGGGATTAAAGACATGGAGTAAAGCCACCAATGCCCAGCACATTATTCTGTTTTGTGACAACTAGTTGAAATGTCATCATCAATTCCATTCACATCAGTGTTGAGATTAAGCCAGACCAAGATTCATACTCCTGTTCTAAGAGCTACTAAGGACTGAAGTGCAAGGATCTGTCTTTCATGGCAAATCTAGCCACAATAGAGAAATATTGCGTCAAAATACATGCAAGGAACAGAAAATCAGCATGAAGTAACTGAAAATGGTGAATAGGAGGAGCACTTACCGACTTAGTGTTTAAAATATAGAGAAAGTCAGAGAGGATCACCCAATCATTAAAATTTCTAGCTAATGAGATTATTCATTAATTCATTTGAAAATTTTGGACCAGTAATAATTTCCCCAAAACACTCAAAGATATAAAAGTTACTACATGAAAATACAAATTTTCTATTTTTGGGGTATCTTTAAAGTGCCTAATTTCAATCTGTGTATATTAAGAATGTTTGTACAGATTACCAAAGACTTATTGTGCATATAGATGTTTTGGGTACTTCGGTGGCATGGTAAGTTTATGCATATGTTACGTGTGTATATTTGAGGCAGCCTGAAATGTCAATCTCAAACCATGAATGATTGCAGATCACAAAGATATTTCACAATAGTTTCAGAAAGTAGTAGCTAAAACAAAGATGTTAAATAATCTCCATGAAATAATTGGCATGTTTTGTATACCCTGTGCTATTGACTAAATAAGACATGTGGTTATGGTTGTGATGAATTCATGCTCCATTAGGAACAAACTGCAGGTAAATCCATGGGACTTGTCACATCCACCCTTGACCAGCAAGAACGACGCAACACCAAGGAACCTTCTTCTCACAGTTTAATTTGGGAACCTTGATTTACAGTAAATGGTGGCCCTGGGTAGAGGAAGACGAGGTCTGATATAGTCTACATCTACCAATCACCTAACCCTACATGGCGTGCCAGGATAGGTTGTCTCCAAGCAGAAATAAGAGGATACATGGCCTTTACCAAATTAGGAGTTGTTTACCACAGAGAGCACTCACCGTCAGGCTGGCGGAAGGCGGAAACTGGAGCCATCTTTTGGGCGTGGTACTTTGCAGCTCCCAACAGTTCCCCCTTTTTGTTTTAATATTATAGGAGTAGCAGTATCTATCTGCTGTCAGATTTCAGTCATCTCTGTCTTAGGTTCAACCCCAGTGTCCCTATCTTACCTGTCAAAGAGTCACTGTGTCGCCCTCACAGGCTCATGTCTTAGGTTGAAGGGAACACATGTAAGCTTATTCGCTCAGCAAAAGGGTAGGTGCCCGTCATTGAGCATGACTAATTCAGATATGCATCACTCACTCAGCATGGGTGAGACAGACACCTATTTGTCTGTCAGCATGGATTACCTTGCTTGAGGGGATTGTCCTGCTTCCACAGCAGCAAAGGCCTGTACCAACATAGCAGCTTGGGATTTTTGCGACTTCCTGATCCTGCATAGGCACCACAAGCAAACAAAAATGGCTAACAGCATCATGGAAAACATAACCCCTACCCCAGCCCATTCCTTAACTAAACCAAAGGCTTGTTTAAGGGTAGTTAAGAGGGCATTAGCAGTGGGCAGGCTCAGGCTTGTAGCATTCACGGCAACAATCTGTTGTGTTAAGGTTTCTGTCAGGTTCTCGAACTGTTGACTTCAATTTCCCTGAAGGTAGGCACTCAGCTGCCAACTCAGGTTGCTGTTCTCCGTGAAATTGTTGGCTATCCTGGAGGTAATACATAAAGAAGAAAAGGAATGAAGAAAAGGAATGAATGCATCCTATGGAAGTTAAGGTTACTAAATCATCCACCTGTTCCTGCAACAGGTCCACTCTTTGGTTCACAGTTAGAATGCCAGCTTTTAAGTGGCCATCAATAGATCTCAAGGTAGTTAATGTTGTAGCTGTTTTTTCCACAATGTCATTGACTGTCTCAGCTGATTGGATCTGAGCAGCCATGGCAACGGCAGCAGTCATAGCCACTGCTGTAGAAAGGGTTATGGCAGTAACCAACGCTGCAGTTATGCCAAAATCCCGTTTGGTTCTGATTTCTGTAATGGGAAATGTTCCTGTATCCACTTTAACCGGAATAGGAACATACATAGGAATCCTCATCACTACTGCTGTATTAGCAGAACCATTCCAACATTGACTAGCAATGCAGGAGACATCAGTCGAATTGCATGAGATCACTTCTTTGGTAGCATCAGTAGCGTTAGAGAGCAGAAACAAAAAGGGAGCTTTTAAACATACTGGGATAGCTGGAGCAGTGAAATTATCCAAAGTTTTATGTATTGATAGATTCTTAAGAGAAGGTCCCTTCTCATCCCTTGTACCAGAAACATTAAGAAGTCTTATGCAGAGATTCTGGAGAACTGCAAAAGGTTTAAGAGAAGTAAATGCTCCACGCTCGTTGGAGAGTACCCATTGAAACCATGGCCAGGTATTTTTACTTCCTGTTCTTTGGGAACCTCCTTGAGTTAGGTTATACTGATACCTACCAAGAGGGGGAGTAAATTCAAAACCAGGAGCTATCTATTTAAGTTTGTGGTCCGGACTCTGACAGGGCGTCCAATGAGGAGGATACCCTCGATTGGATGCACAATACGGCAAGACTTGACGAGCAGAGGAGTTCTCTTGACTAAAGCGTGAATTTGAGGGTTGGAGCCCCTCCATGAGCATCAGAAGTGTAGTGATATTTACATCCTTGGTCCCATTTGTACCTGTGCCAGAGCCAGAACTAGCACCTGTACTAATCTGGGTCAGGACTTCGGTGAGCATAGCCCTCGAGATCTGGTTATGAGTAAGGGAGTCAAGCCAATTGCCAACAGAGCCATTTTTCAACCAAATGCATGGGTTAGAATTATTAATAAGGGGGAAGCATAGTGCTCCATGGAGAGAAATATTAGTGGCTGAATACTGGGCAATGTCAGGGTCTAAATTTACACAAGGCAAGCCCAACTCACAACTAGTAGAAAAGAAAACAGGTAAAACTTTAGATGCACTATGAACAGGCAAGGGAATTTGCCATGCTTTCGCTATGGCCCACAGGATTTGTTCCCTGGCCTGGATTAGCCACGGAGTTGTCAAGGTCAGCAGCAGGATCAATATTGGAGGTTTCATCTTGTTTGTTGCACCGCCTCGTTAGTCTCTCTGGAATCCACACAGGGTCTTGCTGATCCTGAGGAAAAACACAAACAGAACCTCTCGCCCATGCTAACACTGGGTCCGGTCCATGCCATAGACCCGTAAGGATATCTTTCCATCTTATGTAGCCCTTTTGAGCAGGTGCCTGAGTCTGGTGCCTAT